TTAAAATTTTCGATTTTATAGCAAATTCACAAATTCGAAAACAGGTTTCTTCACAATGATTTCACAATCATTGTATTTAAAATCCACTGAAACTTAAAGTTTGGAGGAGTTATAATTTTTATAAACGTAGTTAGAAAACCGACGAAAAACCTGAAAGTCTCAGGTTTTTAGTTTCAAGCTGAAACTCAAATTTCGCGTGAATTTGATTTTTACTAAATCTGATAAGTTCTTCCAATGAAACATCTGATGCATCTAAAGTTAGATAATGTTCAGGATTTCGAAAACTTAAAGTTTTGAATGGAAAACCATTTCGTTATTGAAACCCGGTGATCTCGTCTTGAAAACTCATACCGAGGGGTTTTGTCTAGGGTTTTGGGGTAGTCGGGATAATCGGGGTAATGGGGGTAATCCGGGTAGTAAGGGTAATCGGTGTAATCGGGGCAAAATGCTACTGTATATACATAGTCTATTCATAAGTCCCCGCACAAGCATTTCTCGTGATAAATCCCAAAGTATTAGAGCTATCGGTTAGAATTTTTTATGGACGAACAAGGTACTAATATGGTTTAAAAATCATATCTTCTTTTTCAAGATTTCCTCCAGGGGCTCATACGGAAGACATAAGTCGGGACGGCGGCTGATCGGTCCTGGCACGCACCTTTTTCATGGGAAAGTGTTCATACCTTTCAGGATGGATGCCTTCGGTGAGGATCCCTTGATTTGACAGATATTTGCTCTACGGACGTCTGACATCCCTTTAGGTACGCGGAAGTAAATAAGAAGTCACCAACATGGTGTGAAAGGGAGCGAGTTGGCTGGAGAAAGGAAATCTCTGTTTTTCACCAGAAGGAGTAAAAATTCAGGCCAAGATTTATTTTCGGAATGCTCCTGAGCCAATGGTTAAACCCCTGGACCATGAACTATTCGAAAAATAGCATTTGACTTTCAACAATGCTCTGCTACTGAGAATAGTGCAAAAATTGTCCAAAACTGACTTCGGTCGAATTTTTAGGAATTTATTACGTCGATGGAACGACCCTCAACATCTGCAGACCTTAATCCCATAAATTATGACTGGTGGTAAAAATTATAGATACAGATATGTTCTAAGTCTCATAAAAGCGTGAAAGGCCTGAGGTCATACTTACTGAAGATCTGGGCGCTTTTCCCATGAAAACCGTGCGTGCCGCGATCGTGCAGTTTTCGTCACGACTTATGTCGTTTGTATAAGCCCTTGGAGGAAATCTTGAAAAATAAGTTATGATTTCTAAACCATGTTAGTACCTTGTTCATCCATAAAAAATTCTAACCGATAGCTCTAATACTTTGGGATTTATCACCAGAAATGCTTGTGCGGGGACTTATGAATAGACTATGTATCTACTGTACTAATTCTTGAACACAAGATGCCTTTTATCACATATAAGACACTTTATTAAACTTGAACACCCCAACTAAACCGACTATACGTCGACAGGGTTCGGAAAACCCCGGGGTTTTTGTAGAAAAACCCAACCCCGTGGGTTTTTCCGGGGTTTTTGGGGTTTTTGTGGGTTTTTGTGGGTGTTTGTAGATTTTGGGGCATGTTGAACCAGAATTCCTAAAATTATTTATTAGAGAAAAACTAATTTAATATACGATTTTAACATGCAATTTTAACCGTTATCATTGATTTGGACTATTACATCGAAAATTCATGTTTGACATGTAAACCTGGAAATATGCATTGATACTTGGAAATTCAAGTCGCAAATGAAAATTCTCAAAATTTCAAGATGAGGCAGAAAAGTTAATTAGCATTGATCAACGTTGTAGTGTAAGGGATTTTGTTTCAATCTGCCTCAAAATCTTACAAAAGCCCTGGAAAAACCCACAAAAACCCACAAAAACCAGCAAAAACCCCATTAAGCATTAGGGTTTTTCCGGAGATTTGATACCCCAAAAACCCACAAAAACCCCAAAAACCCCAACCCACAAAAACCCGAGGTAGCGAACCCTGGTCCAAAGTACCTTCCCCTAAAGCAGTGCGAGTCTAAAGGTGTCGGGTCTATCGTTATTCCGTCATCAGGGGACGGAAATATCGGTGGAGCGTCTGGCTTTTTTGATCAGTGATAGCTTTGACTAAATGCCTTTCGTGGATCGAACAACCTGGTATATTCTTATGTGATTGATATGGAGTCGATGGAGTATTTGGAAATTCTCGCCATTGACAACGAAATTATTTAAGGAAATTCTTACATAAATTATTTATGTTGAGCATTTAATAAGATTCTCATTATTTATTTGATCTGAATTACAGCAGATAAATCATCAAAATAGGTAAAGATCAGAATGAATAAAATATTTGTAAGTAGCACCACTTGAAAAATAAACTCGGAAACATTAAATAATAATTCTATGTAATACGGGGACAGAGGAAGGCGGGTCTGGACGACGCGGATGTCACGCCGATGTCACAAATGGTGAGATGATTACTTTCCTCCAAAGCCTGATCCAAATGAATTCGCAGCTTCCTGGGAAGCAGAGAAAGATGTTCCCGAGCCTGGGAACCCTCCGAATCCGCCACCTCCGCCGAGGGACGAGGAGCTCGAAATAGCTGCAGCGTTTGCCTGACTGCTCCCGACTCCAATGCCGCCTCCAGGATAATAACCTCCACCGTAATCTCCTCTTGGGTAGTACTGTCTCGCCCCCCTCAACAGTGGCGCCGACGGATCAACGTCATTGTTAACTTGGGAAGTTCCGATCGGTTGGTGGGGCAATGCAACAGAGAATGTGAAGAGACAGACCACGAGAAGAAAGCAAACGTTTGTTCTGGATTCCATTTCTGTGAAATGACGATAAGTTTTGTTCGGAGTTTTGAGTTTAAGATGTTGAAAAACTTTGTGAGCTTTCAAGAACGAAAAAGTGAGTGTGTAAATTATTTTAAATATTACGTACAATGTATAATAATTATTAATAAAAATAGATAAGATAAACGTAGTAATGATTTTCTAAGGCTTAATCAGTCGAGGATATCCTCCCATCAAGAGAAATAATCGTACGACCCCATTATCCTGGTGCAGTGCTTATTTGTACCAAGGTATGCTTTGGGACTTTATTTATGTATTACTCATTTGCAGCTCTATAATCTGAGACCTTCCCCGCAATGACGATTGACATTGACGTGGACTGAGTCATCCAGCCCACCTTGTTCACGGACATTGGAGGTCTCCCAACGTATGCTCACAAATTTATACCAACTAGCGTCAACCGATCACAAATTTACTTATCCAGTATGAAATTTGCAAATGGCACCGTTTGCCAAGGTTTGGCAGACGATATTTTCATCCAAGGCGGGACAAATGCTCAGCAATTTTTAAAAATCAAAAATTTGACAGCCTTGGGGGTGCGTTTTCTATTTCTCTTGCTAATATCTCACTAAACTTCAACATTGGCAGATAGTTTCATTTGCAAATTTCATACTAATTAAATTTGTGATCGAGTTATGCTAGTTTGGTCCAAATCGTGGGGAGACCTCCAGCTTTAGTCAATGCTTGGTTAAATGACGCTGCTTTACAAGTCTGATTATCATCATACATTCATAAATATGTAAGCGACAGAAACCGACACCGGCATGTGAAGGGCTGGAAGTTAGTGTTAATCCATTTATCAATTTTATATGATCGGCACGAGCTTGCAATAAACATAGTTGATGTGAGAAGGTATTGGGGGGAACAAGTTATTCTTATGTACGGACGGGGTCAATGCATTCCGCATAAAAAAGCAAAATGGAATGCCGCGTGATGTTTTATTAGTATTAAATATTATGTACGAATGCCGACAAGTGTGGATCAACGGTAATTTTTTTACCACACAAGGTTTTCATACCAGGACAATTGAAACATTTTTGAAATAATTATTTCTTGGCGCATAAGAATACAAAAATCTTTTAAACGTTTCATTTATTTAACCAGGTAAAGCTTCCAAAAATTATTATCCTTCAAAATCATGTACTCATTTTAAATTTCGTAACAATGTTGATACTAGCATATGAATTTTATGCAAAACGTACACACGTACACGAACACTAGATTTATCCTAACAGGGCTCCATTCTCATTAAACCAACCAATATTATATGCTTCTTAAATTATAAAAAATTAACATATTCACAAATTTATTATTGAATAGGTTTATGCAACTATTTATACTTTATCGTCACGCCGACAAATACGTACATCATGTTTGAAACACGTTGCTAATCCCATACGAAAGTTATAGTTTTACAATCCCACTTTAAAAGAATTAATCTTCAATAAAATTTAATTTGTACTTTGCAGCATCAGGAGATTGCCCTAAGCGCATATCGTATCCCTATAAATTCGTTGATCTTGTCCCATTCCATCCAACACTACGTCGAGATCCCAATCACTTAAAACATTCTTTTAAAACATCGAAATGTTATTCAAAAACTTTGCACCGCTATTTACCTTGGCGTTAACATCTACCTTACTTTTTGTAGGTTCCACCACCGGACAAAGCTGCGGTCGGGTAGATGTCTTCACGCCATCCGATGACGAGCTAATTCTCGCCCAAATTTCAGAGCTCCTCGATAACGACTCGATTCTTCTCAATGGCCCTGATTCCGTATCCGAAGCCCCAACCCAAACTACCAGAACGACCCATAGATCGGAGTACTCCGGGCTTGGAGTACGGACTCCGGCCTCCGGAGGCCGGAGTACGCAGCTTTTTCTGGAGGCCGGAGTACGCGGAGGCCGGAGTACACGTGGCCAGCCGGAGGCCGGAGTACGCGGAGGCCGGAGTACGCGGAGGCCGGAGTACACGTGGCCAGCCGGAGGCCGGAGTACGCGGAGGCCGGAGTACGCATGGCCGGCCGGAGGCCGGAGTACGGAGGCCGGAGTACGCAAAATTTCCGATCGCATAGATAGGAGAATTCCGGGCTTGGAGTACGTACTCCGGCCTCCGGAGGCCGGAGTACGCGACTTTTTCTGGAGGCCGGAGTACGCGGAGGCCGGAGTACGCGTGGCCAGCCGGAGGCCGGAGTACGCGGAGGCCGGAGTACGCATGGCCGGCCGGAGGCCGGAGTACGCAAAATATCCGATCTATGGAACGACCCCCTTGACAATCGCGGAGCTTGAATATTATACCTACTTCTCGGCCTCGATGTATTGTCCGAAATCGTGGTGAGCTTCCGGGGTAGCGTCGCTTTCATGAATTGGATTATGGATTCCATTCTTCTTCCGACAGGAGTGAGCAATGGCGGGATTAAGGTACATTTGGGATTCTTTCTGAGTTTGATGTCGATCTATAATCCGGTAAGTATAAAAAATGTTTAATTTAAAAAAAGATTAAATCTTACTGACAATGCAAGTCTTTTAACTGTACAACTCAGATCTGGTTGGGACCAATTTTATTTTGTTCACCACAAAAAATTAGCATACCCGTATTTTTTCATTTTTCATAATGCACTAATTTGAGCGCGAGGGGCGAATTTTAAAGCATTTTTCAGCCAAAACCTCGGTTTTAAAAAATTCTGTAAATTGTCGAATTTTAGCGTGAATCCAAAAATTCGAAAACACGTCTCTTCAGAATGACTTACCTGACTCATGAAAAATCCAATTGTCTCGAAATTTGATTTTCACAATTTTTTGCCAGTTTTTGGAATTCATCAAAATTATAAACACTATCAATTTTGAATTTTTCAAAAAATGATGCATGTGGATTTTTCATTAGTCAAGTAAGTCATTCTGAAGAGACATGTTTTCGAATTTTTGGATTCGCGCTAAAATTCGAAGATTTACAGAATTTTTTAAAACCGAGGTTTTGGCTGAAAAACGTTTTAAAATTCGCGCCCCGCGCTGAAATTAGCGCATTATGAAAAATGAAAAAATACGGGTATGCTTATTTTTTGTGGTGAACAAAATAAAATTGGCCCCAACCAGATCTGACTTGTACACGTAAAAGACTTGCATTGTGAACGTAATTTGTTGTCATAAAAGAACCTAAATTGGAAAATTTTGGCAAACATTTTTGAAATAAATATCGGGAGGTTACATTACTTTAGGAATTTGTAGGTTGTTAAACAAGTTGGGATATACCTTGCCAGAAGTCCAGGATCTCGTATCGTCGTGAACGGTCACAGTTTAGGAGGCTCGATGGCATCTCTGTTGGTCTACTTTATGACAAGCCTAAACCAATTTCCTTTCACGAATTACGCCTTGGTAACTTCCGGTCAGCCGAGAACGGGAAATGTTAAGTATGCCGACTACATGAATTTCCTGAATATTCCGATGAATCGAGTGGTCGCGAGGTGAGAAAATCTCAACTGAAATTCAGTTAATAAATATATTTCCGAAACTTTTTTTTTATTTTTGAAATAGTTTCTCACGATGTTTTACACTCTAAATAATTTTGAGACCAATCGTCACCCGACGGAGTTCTATAGTGCTCTATTTTTTGGTAATGATTTAGGAGACGTTTTATCAACAGGGGGGATAAGTCAAAACTCATGCACCAAGCAAACGTGCGTCGTCATTTAAAAAATTCAACAACGTCACATGTGTTTGATACTGTGAAGTTCCGTTTATGTGGGGGGGGGGTTCACTGCATTGATGGTGGTGGTGAGGCAGATGAGACGATCGTCGTCGTTGTTGTACATGGAAATAAATTGCGTCTTGGAGGCAAGGTGAGATTTGGTGAGACAAAGTCAGGACAGGTTTTATTGCACGTATCAAGATACAGGCAGTCGACTCGCTGTCGATGGTCACTCTTGTTCTTACTTATATACCATACGTATACCTATTTAGTCTACTTATATGTCTAACCGGTTATTGGGTGGTAAGAGTTGTAAGAATTATAAGAGTTGCCTTTTTGACATAGTGATCATTGATCACTAACACAACTACGAAAAGGAGATAGTGAGAGTTGCAGATCTAAAGAACCAGTTTTTCAATAAGGATTTGGCAAAGATCACCTCTTCACAGCTCTCATGTTATGAAGAGTCGGCCCGACTTATGAAGCGAAAAAATCCAAGATTTGCGTCAGTGTACCTACTTCAAGGGTGTGCATCACATTGTTTGTGTTAATTTGGAAACTTCTCAATCCCAGGTAAGGAGAATGTCAAAATTCTATGTCGGTTAAAAATTGATAGAAAAATTATTAAAATTTTCCTAGGTAGACTAAAATAGACTTAAAGTAACAGAGCGAATTAACCAATAAGTAAGATTATTAAGGCTACTTAAATGGCAATTTATTGAAAATGAAATCTGTTAACGCGAAAAAATTGTTTCTTAGGTAGAAATGGGGTTTGATATCTTGAAGATGAACTGGATTTTGTTGATGCAGGGTCCTCATTGCCCGCTGTGTCTCTGTGGGCATCATTTTTGCTCACGGGACAGGTGGAGAAAACACCTTCAATCATGTCAAGGAGGTCGCCGCTGTAAGAGAGGGCATTGTCACATGATGGGGTGTATTCAGCATCCAAGTGGAAGTCTAAAATAGTTTGAATTTCGAAGTTTCGAGTCTCTTTCGCCTTTTTTAAATTTTGGGGAGGGAACTATGTTTTTGTTGAAAACCAAATTGGCGAAAATAAATGATCGATTGATTATTACGAAAATAATTCCGATGTTTGTAATTATTATTTGTGTGAAATGACATCGCATAAAGGGTAGACCAACATGTAGCAAAGATTGATTGTGTCTGCTGCAGGTGTCGAAAGCGCCTTGGTGGGTGAGGACTGAAGGGTGGGAGATAATTTCTGGGTGTCTATTGCAAAATTCGTCGAACCACGCAATGTCAACGGTTGAAGTGGCGTGACAAAACTTGTTGGAGCGTGGGGGTTTCACTGTTGTGGCGAATACATAAAAAATTTGTTTGAGGTGAAGATGGGTGAGGTGGAGTCCTATTTTGAACAGGCGACGTAATTCGGAGACCAATAAAAGTTCTTCCTCGTCCGTCAGCATCAAGATAATCGAGTACGAGCGGTTCTGTTGGGAGAGATAAGTGATGTCGGGTAAGCATGGCAGGAGTGGATCCATGGTGGGGTGTTTTGGTCTTTGGGAGCGCACTGGCAAATGGTTGTTGTCCAATGGTTGAGATGTGGATAAGTTGTGATGAGTTGTTATTGTGGGTTATGCGGTTGGAGAATGATCGTCGTGAAAAAAAATGGATTGGAGCTGATGAGGCGTAGTTGAGGATCACCGATGAGTCGTCACTTTCAGAGTCGGGAAGTCTGGGTTACTTGTTGAAAACATTGAATTAGGAGAAGGGAGATCGGGAACTTCCAGAGTAAATGGAAGGCGAGAAAATAATGAGGCCAACTTATGGTGAGTGGAAGGTGTCCTTTTGATTCAAAAAAATTGAAAGGGGGTTGTGTATGCGGGAAGTATGTACGTAAAGGGGCGTATTTAGGCAAGGAGGATCCGATGCATGTTGTGGGATATGACTCGTATCCCATATGAATCTAGGTGTTGGAACGTTGTCACGCTGGTTGGGTGAGGTGGAGAAGTGGGGTGAGGAGGTGGGTTGGATCTATGTAAGAGAAAAAGAATCCGTTGTCGTTGGTTGTTAAAGAAAGTGTGATTGGCATATGTCGGCGTGGCGGCGTATGGCAACGGATGGCACGAAGAAATTATAAGTATTTTTATTGTTGAGGCGGATCGGCTGGATGAGATTGCATTGATGGAGAGCCTGGGGTTGAATTTTGGGGTGGGGCTGGCCTACTGGTAGCCGGCACAGGACGTGAGGGAGTGGATGGAAGTGGTGGGGAAGGGTATGTTCGGGTAGAGTGGGGGGATTGGAGGAGTTTCCTCAGGTTGGATGGGTGGTTCGGCGTGATCTGGCACCGTTATGAGTTTTGAAGGGGGGACAATGGTGAGTTTTTCATTGTGTCGTGTGCAGAATCCATAAGCGCCATAATAGGTGAGGATATTAGGGTTGCGGAATACTTCCGGGTGTCTGGCTGTAAATTCGTTGTACCATTTTTCATCCACAGCTGTAGAGTCGGTGAAATTAAATGGGCGTGGAGGTGAAATGCTGGACGTAAGTTTTCCACACATTTGGAGGAGGTGGTTGCGGGTGAAGAAAAAGTTCGCATCAAAAAGTCGGAGAAGTTCGGAGGCCAATTGCATTTCTTCGAGATAGGTCAGCAGGAGGATTGAGCTGTTGTACGCCCGAAATTGGGTGGACGAGAAGGTGGCCTTAGGCGACTTGGGAACTTGTTGGTCCATGGCACGGGAGTATGAAATCCTCCCTTTAGAGAAGTTGTGTGGTCTTGTTGAACTGCACGTCGTTCACTGTCACAAGGTGGAAGATACAAGACGGAGGAGCCAGTGTCTGGGGCGATACTGCAGGTTGCGAGGAGAAGAGAGTCGTCTGGGAGAAGAATATGGGTTGGTGGGTGATGGGTGTTATGGCCTAAGGGTCGAGTTGGATGGTCTGCAGGATGAGTATGCACAATTGAGGCAGGAGGGAGACTGGTTTTGAGGGGAGAGAATCAGGTGAGAATGAGGGCGTCCCTGAGAGGAAGGTCGTTCTTCCTCGTGGGAGATATGAGATTGGCCGAGCCGTCCTGTCGATGCGGAGAACAGGTTTGGTGAGGTTCAGGTGTGCGATAAAAGGTAGAAGGTGGGTTGGAACTAGATTGTGGTCGGTGGGTCGGATCGTTGTAAGTGAGACGGCTAATTGTTTGAACAGCATGGGAGATGAGCCCTGAAGCGAGGAGAGTAATATTGTGGTCCAGTTGGTCCAAAAGGTATATGGATTGAGAATAACATCGGGGGAGAGTAAAGTGTTGAGTCAACCGGTGAAGTGAGATTGGACAAAGTGTTGTAGCAATTGAGTATATAGAGGTAGAGTAGAAGATACCGTTATACTAAACGTATTGCTGAGTCGCGTACGTGGTTCGTGAACAGACGGGGAGGTACGTAGTAGCGTTTAAGAAAGAAAACTAATGTAATTGAGTTGACAATTCGCTACTGGTTGAATGACAGATCGAAGGTTGCCTAATACTGGAAAAAATGTGCAGACGAAGGTGACCAGGAGGAGCTTACTAGAGTTAAATCTTAAGGTAGGGGAGTGAGGGTACTCATTAGGAGATGCCCATCGAGGTCTATACGCAACGTAAATGCACAGGAGAAGGAACTCTCCTGTGGATTTATGATTATCGCATCGTGAGTTCTCTTATATATTTAATGCGGCGAATGGTTGTGGGGACCATAGAGCGACCGCTGTTTAATATGGTAGGCTATCCGGTTTTCGCTTCTAAGTAATAGTTATGTGGTACAAAAGAATGTGGGATGTCTACGTAATCCTAGATATCGAAAATCACCTATGGAAAAGCGCAAAAAAATACACAGGAGAAAGAACTCTCTTGTGGATTTTTGTTTTTATAAATCCTATGGGTGGGTTTTATAATGCGTATATATATATATCTGGGTGACCGGTAAGTATTACTATTTATTACTATTGTATTAATGGGTATAGTCAAGGGGACCATCCTAGGTTCGCCGTGATACGTATATACGTGTATACGTGTAAAGGAGTGAGAGTTGCAGATCTAAAGAACCAGTTTTTCAATAAGGATTTGGCAAAGATCACCTCTTCACAATACACGGGTTTTTAACTTATGTCCTCCTGGTGATAAAACGTCTCCTAAATCGTTACCAAAAAATAGAGCACTATAGTACCTCCGCGGGTAACGATTCGTCTCAAAATTGTTTACAGTCTACGAATTTTTCAGAATTAACTTACACAATTTAATTTTCCTCTAGGGCAGACATTGCTGCCCACCTTTTTCCTGTCAGCGCCCTGGGAGTCATTGACCTCCTCACTGGAGAGAATTACGTGCATCACGGGCAGGAAGTCTGGATTAACGGGGAGGAAATAAACTTTTGTTCGAAAACGGTCTACGAGGATCCCAACTGTTCCAATTCACTGGGACCACTTTACACCCTTTTGGACCATTTTCAATACTTCGACGCGGACATTACCGTCTGCTACTTGGTCGAAGGATGGCTGGACATTGACCTCGTGACTGTGGAAGGATTCACCCCGACCAACTTCCTCCCACCGATGCCCACAGTGATGCGAGGGATTTTAGTAGGCCTGGTGCAAGGAGGATATCAAGGCCTATTACCAGTTTTGGGATAAGGAATTTTTTTGAAGAAATCTGAAGTAATTGCTTAGGTTGGAAATGAAAATTTTGTAGAATAGTGAGTAATCTATTATTTAAGATAAAATTAAAGTTTTCAATGTCCGACTTTAATTGGCTTAATGAAATAAAGTACATATTGTCAGCATCTCAACCAAAGACCAGAATGTGGTGAGGAGTGTCAAGTTCCGTCCAGCCAGCAACAACGTTCCAGCGAGCAACAAAGGAGGACGCACCCTTCTTATGAGAAAATCCCCCCCCCCCCCGTGATATTTGCCCCAAATTTTGATATGTTGTACACCTCGAAGTGCTGATCGAAAAATGTATTGGTCCCTAAGCCCCAAGTGACCTGGTTGGACCGGAAATAGGGGTCAAAGGTCAGTGCACTTTTTCGCTCGAAACCCCACAAACCGTATATTTTTGGAAAGCTGGGGACCTCACGAGTCTGAATATACACCATAATAGGGTCAAAGGTCAACCCATGACCTTTCGAGGTCAAGGATTTAGGGGGCAAGGTGATCCTTTGCGTACCTTACGGATCTCCGCTGCACTCCGGTCAGCCGAGTGCACGGCAACAAGCTAGAGGTGAAATGGATATCCATTTTATCCAATCCATTTGGAATCCAATCCATGGATATGGATTGGATTGGATAATCAGAGATCTGGATTGGATTGGATGGATTTTTGGTTCTAGAAAAATTATGGATTGGATTGGATTGGATAATCGGAAATCTGGATTGGATTGGATGGATTTTCGGTTGTGGAAAAATTATGAATTTTCACCGTGACTTTCTGTATAGAAATCATAACCAGGACGTTATGTCATTCTAAATATTCTAAAATCTGTGTATTTATCTACGTATATTTTTAACTTAAAGCAGGCGGGTGTATTGCTGGTTGGGTCGGTAACATATTGGCATTTGAAAGGAGAGCCAAATTCTTTAGTTTTTGCCTGTCAATTAACGGTCGTATAAACTAGTTTTGTTATATTAAAAATATAACGAAATTTAATAATAGGTGTGTATATCGTAGTATTTTTTTAAATATAGTTTTGCTGATTTTGTAAATATTATATCCATGTTTTTACACTGGATTCGATTGGTTTAATTTAAAACTAGTGCTGCATAATATAGATTTTTTGTTTTTGGTTTGAATTGGATTGGATTTTTAATGGTTTGAAAGTTATGGATTGGATTGGATATTTTTTTTTACAAAATTTCGAATGGATTGGATGGATTGGATAAATCCAAATGGATTATGGATTGGATGGATTTTTTACGAAGAAATTAAAAATATATTGGATGGATTGGATAAATCCAAATGGATTTAGGATTGGATGGATTTATCGTTTTGGTAATCCATTTCACCTCTACAACAAGATTAGTCGACTCTATCGCTGTTGTGTGTGCAACTGTTCAAAACACATTTGCAACTTTTTTGCTTGACCTCGAAAGGTCTAGAGTTGACCTTTGACCCTATTATGGTGTATATTCGGACTCGTGAGGTCCGTAGCTTTCCAAAAATATACGGTTTGTGTGGTTTCGAGCGAAAAAGTGCACTGACCTTTGACCCCTATTTCCGGCCCAACCAGATCACTTGGGGCTTAGGGACCAATACATTTTTTGATCAGCACTTCGAGGTGTACAACATATCAAAATTTGGGGCAAATATCACGGGGGGGGGATTTTCTCATAAGAAGGGTGCGTCCTCCTTAGTTGACGCGTGACGCGTGACGTGAATCGACATCGTACCAAACAGAAATTTTCGTAAAAAAAAGTACAAAATTGAAAATTTTACAGTTAAAAACAAGAATTCAGAGTTATAGATGAAAAATGCGAATTGTGGAGGGTTGCGGGATCGGTGTCCTTTCGTGGGGATGAGAGTGCGAGCGAGAGAGACAGAAAACATTTGAGCTCACGCTGGACATCGTATGAAAAATCATGCGGTTTTGCGAACTTGCGGCGCCCAGACCGTGCAGAATTTTGCGCATCGGCGCAAGTGACGAACCAAATATTGTTGCGAAAGACTTGCTCTTTCAAACTAACGTGGTCAAAAGGTAATCTGGGCTGAACATGGTTTGCGCCTCCATTGTAAGTACGTAGTAATTAAGATTTGTACGTCATAATCCATAATCAGGCTTCTAATCGTTACCTGTAACCTCGGTGTTTTGTAGTTGCAAAAAAACTCATATTGGGTATATAAATATTCTCGTCTATATAAATATTGGGTTGTAAAAATTCATTTACTATTTACTTATGGTTAATCTAACAAAACCGCAGCATTTTCTTGGTTCGAGGTTATGTGGCGCATGCCGCAATGCTTATAAGCATTGGAACTTTGATTGTGATCCATTCATGCAATTCTCCATGGATTTTCAAAATTAAACATGTTTTGGAAACATCTGACCTTTGGCAAAAATATATAATTTCAAATTTTTAAAATTTGACCTAGGTGACCTGAAAACAAGGTCACAAGGTCAAAAAATGAGAATATTTGCCTTAAGTCCTTAAAAATGCGACTTCGCAAATTTGATTCGAAATTTAAATATCAGGCCACTCAGGGGAGTGGCAAAACATTACCCTCCCGTCATTCAAAAAATTGTGGGTGTGGCAGGGGGTGTGGGAAAATTGAATCAGGTTTAAATTGCTGAGTTTTAACATCTGGGCGCACAAGAAATATCAGCATCCGATCAGATTCACACCCCTCGACAATGGTTACATCAACAGATTAAAATCTTCAGTACCCACCCACAGGGGGTGTGGCCATCAGCGCTTTTGGCGTTAATCAACTTAATGCATGGTGCGACACAAATAATTTATCGTGGTGGAATGGGGATCCCGATGGTCACCTCCTACAACAAAAAGCCACACCCCCCAGTGGGTGTGGCTTTCGGCGCCTTTGTAATCCTTTTGAGAAAGTATGTCGTGTGACATATCATTTTTATCAGTAACATAGCGGTAAGTCGGCAATACTGTTGAAGTGACCAAAACCACACCCCCTAGTGGGTGTGGCTTTCGGCGCTTTTGCCATCCTTTTCAGAAAGTGTGTCGTGTGACATATCATTTTCGTCAGAAACGTAGCGGAAACTCGGAATACTGTTGAAGTGACTAAAACCACACCCCCTAGTGGGTGTGGCTTTCATCGATTTTGCCATCATTCCGAGGAATCATGTCGCGTGACATTATTTTGTCCGGAAACACATTGATAATTTGAAGATAGTGTCGAAATTGCCAAAGCCACACCCCCAAGTGGGTGTGGCTTTCAACGCTTTTGGCAGCAACTTATAAAATATGTCATGCGACACCAATAATTTATCGGAGTGGAATGTGGACCCAGTTGGTCACCTCCTATAACAAAAAGCCACACGCCAAGTGGGTGTGACTTCTGGCGTTTTTTAGCAGTATTCAATAAAGTATGTCATGCTAGTCAACGAAAACACAAAAAACTCCCGTGCTAAATTTTGTCAGTTTTTCGTGCGAATAAGATAGGATAATTAACCATGAAGTTTCCAATTACACTTTACAATAACTGGTAGGATTTTCTGCTTCCATGCGCACAATGAATGCTGAAGGTTTATTCACGCCAAACATATCATCCTACCCAATCGGGGTTTCCAAATTAAATACATTTGTTATACATATTATGCAATTACTTAAAAAATCTTTAAAACCTTAAATAATCATTAAATGCAAAAAAATCATAATTTCCCAAAGTTCCACTCGTTCAAAGAATTCGTTGGTATCATAAATAAATTTTAGGAAGGCCATAATTTTTAAAAAGTCACAAATTGAACAACTTTTCACGATTTTACAATTTGGGTGAATAGTAATTGTAAAAATTCGTGTTAATTAGTGTTAAGTTGAAAATTGACATTTATTTCCTAACGACTTGGTTAATTTCGGACAATAATAATCGTCCTCTTGTAATATATTTAAAAACCAATAATAGTAATATTACCATTTATGTAGGAGTTTAACTCAAACCATACCTTTGAACCCGCAGGGGTCGATGTCGCCGATTGTATGTGGGTAGTACTTCACGCGCCGCCGAAAAACCTTGCAAAATTGGCGCAGTCGACAACTCTGTCCGAGTTGAGCGTACGTATGCATATGTCTATATAGACATATGCATACGTACGCTTCTTGATTATTCATGCGCACATGTGTTATCTCAGTTCAGCACTCCAATTATGTAAGTACTTTAATATATCGAACGAGGGGCCATCCATATATTTCTTCATCAAAAATTCTCAATGTTAGCACCCACCCGCCCAACACATTAAGTGATAGGAAATGTTATCGTGGGAAAGATAGGAAGACCTAAACCACCCACCCACTAAAACTATGACCTAATATATGGACGTTCCCCAACCAACTTGACAGAGGAATTTATGTCTGTATGCACCCAAAGCAGATTATTATTTGACCAGATGTTTATCCATTTGTCAAATCAAATTAATTTCAGTGGAGATGGAAAAATTTAAGATATTTTGGAATTTGATTTTGACGTTTTTAAATTAAAAGATCATTCTTTCAGATTAAAATATAAAAAGAATAATTGTACTACATGTGTTATAGTGTACAAAAAATATACATATATCCCTTTGCTGTCTAATATTTCAGCACGCAATTCAAGCTCTATCATCCTCCGGCGAAACGCGCGTATTCTGGTTTTGCATCTGAATTTATTACAGTAAGACAAATTGATAAATGTGAACATCTAATCTCCACGTACCATTAGCTAAAGCGAGTGTTCATGGCATTGCCATTATCGTCCATGACACGATAGAGCTAAATCGGCTGACTGAGCGGTTTCATTACACATTTTAGAAATGTGAGAGTATAATTAAGGCCAAATTCGAAGATAGCTAAGTGGTTGATCCTCGAGTGTGGGTTGGGTTGCATCCCCAGCAGAGTCAGCTTGAAGGGTTACGCAGAGTTAGTAGTACTTTTGTGCAAACTTAAATTTTTCGCGAGAGTTAGAAGAATTTTTGAAGTTTGTTTGGGTGGAGAAAGAAAGGAGGAAAGTCGTGGGGCCGCTGAACTTACATAATTCGAGTGGGAATAGTAATTCTGTACCAATAGGCAAATTTCTGATAAATACGGGGGAATTTTGTAACCAGCACATGTCTACTTTACGCAAGTTGTATCCTGTGAGAAATGTTGAATGGCGTAAATCTTCTTTACAAAAGTTATATGACGATCCGCCCTCCAAGTTTATGAGGCGAATAGGGTTTCAAAAAGTGTGTTGAGTTTTGTTCAATATTTTATTAAAGATGTTGCAAAAGCTATGGAGGAAATGTAGCTACACATATTTATGGGTTTATGAAGTTAGAGAACTAAATGTTTCATATGAATAACGGTTTATTTGTGAATATAAAATTATTTTACAACTTATTCTTCTACGTAAAATAAATTGTTGACATGGATAAATGTAAATGTTTGTTTGCTTGTTAATCCTTTAAGTATCTGTGTTTTAGTGCCAACAAAGATCATTTCTCTATAAAATGGTTTACACACCATGCCACCGATCTCAAAACGCGACGAAGACGAAAATAAGTGATAAAAGTACATTGTGAAATCTATCATTAAGAATAAATAATGTGTTAATATTTTTTTTTTGCCTTTTTGCTATTTCTAGAAATGATAGCGGAATTATCCCTACATAGATTTTCCTTTGTTGTGAGAAAGACAACTTTTTTGAGCACTTCATACGTATGTGTACCACTCAAGCCGTAGTAAGTGGTCGTCATGTGCATATGAAACCGATTGATAGGATAGATAAGTTTATAATATTCGTGAAGAAATTATTACTCGTTGTTTTAACAATTATCTTTGCATCTCTATTTCCAGTTTTGCCTCAACATTTGTAATCCCACTTATCATATATCGAAAAATTGCTATAAAATTTGCTAACGCAGCGGGATACAATTGAAGGAATTAATTGAACTACAAAAAACAGAATATGTATCTAGAGAATTATATTCTATCCTACATAATTATCACCAATGTTTTCTAAAATGTCCATAGATATTTGCTACACAACGGTGAGTTGATATTTTCAAACGAGTTTTTGTTATGATATTCCAACCTCAACCACAAAAGTTGTCAAAATGATCAAAATATCAGTATTGTCTTTCCACAATAAGCAAGTCCAAGAAGTCGTCAAAGTCCTTGTGATTCATGATAGCTTCATCCACCACGCACCAGAAACGAATCCCTCCCCCGTAACTTATCGCCACAATGGAAACACCTACAAAGATAAATCACATTTGTTGTACTACACAAAATAAATCACACAAACAGGGTCGGTTCGTTTACTGTATCTTGGCAAAATTTCTACAGTAAATGACCCTGCACGTAATTTATCAAGCAGACCCACCAATTTGCCTCGGTAGAACTGACCATCCTCCAACATCACTTACAAAACTCCCACAACAAGCTAAAGAACCCTTCACCCTCGTTGCAGGAACGGATGTGAATACCGTTGAAGCTGGAAACCACTGGCACACGAATTTCACAATATTTCCCGCAATTCGCCCCGGAAGTCGGCCCACACAGCTGAGCAGGTAATGAGTGGGAGTGCCTGGCAACGATGGGCTAACATCAATCAGTTGAATGTCATGGTGCTTAGCTAGCTCGCCAAACGGAAGGCAAAAGTTGTTTGGAACCACGGCATTTCTGGGCTGGCTGTCGGGGTGTGGCAGAATGGCGGTGGGAGTTGAGAATGTCAGGGTGGAATTATCCGATATATCTCCACGTCTGGATAGGACCTTGAAGTAGATAAATACACATTATTTCCACAATTCTAAATGTCACTGTTCCTTTAAAGGTCAAAATTTGCTGAGAACCACCCCCACTGGGGGTGGAGCTTCCAAACCGTAATCGAAAAATTTAAAAAATCGCCTAGGCCTCCAACGGAATAAATTCTGTGGCCGGTTGAACATACATATAAATGATTTCAGTTCGTACATACCTGACCCAGTGCAGAAACAACAATGCTAGCCAAGACATTTGTGATTGTATTATTCTGATTTTCACTCCTCTCTAAACTCGACCACAAATATCGTACAGTTTCAAAATCCAGACTTTTTGAGACTCCAAAATGACGCAGGCCAGATCCTCGTCCAATCATAGGATCACAGTCTACCCCGCTGGCAGATTTTCCACTGAATACTCTTTCCATTATGTGGAACGGAAGTAGCAGAAATCCTAGAACGTTTCCGAATAAAATGCGTCTTCCCACATCCCCCGATAACTAGGCTTTAGGGTCGGTGAAAAATGGACCAATGTCATGAAAATCCATCAGACACTCCGTCACTAGCAAGCCGGCTGAAAGTCCATCCATGTAGGAATGATGGCACCGAAGGACTCGTACAATCACTGGGGAATCCCCCAAATTTAGTATTTGCACCTGTGGAATTATCACCCATTCCCACCCAGGTTTTATGGTTTTGTCAAAATCCTTTGCCAATTTCGGAATGATTCCGGCAACAAATTCTTGCTCCATATAGAACTCTCCGTTTGCTGGGACAGTTTCAATCCACACTTTGACGTGTTCCTGGACATCAAAGGTGTCACTCTTTTTGCGACAACCGTACCCCCACTTTTTCTCTAGTACCATTTCTAACCGTCCATACACCTTGACCCCGTCCTTGGCGAGTTTCTTATTGATCACATTCTGCATAAAAAAGTTTTGCTCTGCTTCCAGATCCAGGGTTGAAGAACTTGGCGACACCACAATTCCCAGAATTATTCCATCCGTGCTCCCATCTGGCTGTCCGGGGAATAAATTTTCTATCCCGTTGGAAATCAGTTCAAGTTTTGAGCAAGTACAAAACAAATAGATTTTCAGGACACAGCGCAAAACGTTGTTGACAGCAAAGACCAAAAGCAAGACTGGTAAAAGGAGAGTGTACCCGGACAAAATAATGGCCGATTTGAGGAGGATGTTTTGTACGAAAGATGACATAGTTGCTGCGAGGAGAAAAGCAAATAATTAATTCACTTATATTCACCAAGCAAGCTGCGACAGGGTTCGATGCGATTCTTCAGTCTAGGAAGTAATAAAAAATAACAAAATTTAATAATCAAACTGGCACCAAGGAACATAAAAAAGTTGCGTCAGCTGCTTACTTACCGACGCAACATAATTATAGTCCTAACAATTTCGTTATGATTATAATCACAAAGTAAGGATACATGACTCTATTATACCAATGATGATAAATTTGGCAACGACTAGTGATAAATTTGTGATAAGTGACGACCAGACGGTGACAAATTCATAACCATGGCGGTTATAGAGTCAAATATTTATCTCTACTCACTAGGTATGATCGCAAGAAATTTTTTTAGTGTATGTGAATTAAATTCCCAATAAGTTTTGAATCTCATAATTCACATCACTACGCTAAATGTGTTTTGTTTATTCAAATAGTTTTCTATAATTAACAAAAGTAACAAATTTCAGTTATGTTAGTATTTAAATAAACCCTCCAAACGAATATAAATAAGTAGCGTCAGAGCGATTCAAGTTTCCTTTAACGTTTCCGTATATGACCTCGTCCTAACGGTCATGAGGTCAAAAATATTAACGTCCTTGAAATCGCAATCAAGTTTCCTTTAAAATGCCCCCATATGACAATTATGAATCTTATGGCCCTTGACCTCAAGGTCATAAGGTCAAAAATATTAACGTCTTCGAATTCGCGGCGAAATTTCCTTTAAAATGATACCCCATATGAAAATTAAGGTCAGTTTAATTTTGGACCACACCCCCTGGCGCTGTGGGGGGTGGTCCGATTGACCCCATTTTCGAACTCGACCAAGAACTAAAAATTAGAAGCACAATGGCGAAACCCGCTTTTGATTATGTTGAGGCTTTCTAAAGATATCCTGCTTACGGACGGACGGACGGACAGACAGACAGACAGACGGACAAAGTGATCGCAATAAGTAGCTGACGCTACTTAATAAAGTTACCTTACGATTTCGCTGAGATTGATTTCAAAATACGAAATTTTCTTAAAATATTTTGAGCTATGTTTATTCAGAACAAAGTGCGCACTCGCTGACAAAGTGATCTTCTCGATGAGTCAAGCTCGTGTGTAGAATAAATATTTATATATACCAAAGGAAAACCGATTTTTATAAAATTACCGACTTGTCGTGTTCAACTTAATGAATTAAATGTATTTACATATTTACAAGTTATTGATTTTTATGCCGAGTCAAGGGCTAATCGTGCCGTTTTGTTTGTCCGTCCATTTGGTTTGGCATAACCAGATTAAAAAAATTAGTAGATGTTCCCCCCATCAGTGGCGTATATTAGAACGATTCTTACAACAGGCATACATATATATTTTTGAGTTCCAAAAACAACGTAGGAATATATCGCTATAATTTGTGACCCGGATACAATTGTTGAATCTTTGCCTCCAATTATATGTATGGAGACTGGGCTATAAATAAAGCATATGTATTTGTTTCAGGCTTTGCGAAGTTGCCCCAGAGGTTTCTTGTCTTGTGAGATATTTCCTTATTGCATAAGATACCTTTGCGAGAGTGACTGGTTATTTGCAACCTGCATAATTTTATATCTGCAGACATATGTAATTAACTTAAGCAAGAAACCAGTTTTATTGGACAACTTTATTTACAGATATGTAGGTATTAAAAATTATAATTCAGAAAAAGAACCAGTCACCGACAGGGTTAGGAAAAACTCAGCGGTTTTAATAGGTTATATTGATTTTATTGGGGTTTTCTGGGCTTAATTGGGTTTTCTTGGGTTTCATAGGGTTTATTGGTTTTTTTTAGAAGTCAAATATTACTAGTCCTATAATATAGCATTTTATGGAAGAAAAGCTTTGTATTTAACATTACATATTGATGTTCGTATAGAAGCAATTCCTCCAAATAACGACAATAATTTAATTAGCGGATAGCAAATGGTAAACATGAATGACATTCCAGAAAAACAAGTGTCCTCGTCCCGCACCTTAACCAAAATTTTTCAGAACGGCTTTAGTCTCCTTCACGAATTGGACCATTTTTATAAAATTAGAGTTATCGGCTTTACGCGTTGAAAAACTTAAAAAATAAACCGTAGTAACGTTAGAAGTAGCTCACCCTGGAATAATTTAATAATAAACCTTCCCGACTAGGCGCACACGATGATTATTTAAGGAGAAATTTGTCCTGAATTATGATGGAAATGATGTGCTTTTCTAAACTCCCTTCAGTCGGTAGCACTTTCTTTTGCCTGGAACATGGCTTTGCATGGATAGTGAAAAATAGGTGAAAATATGTAGCCCTCCGGTCGATTTGCAAAATTTACTTTGCATAAAACCCATAAACGCAATTTTAAATTATTAGCCACGTGCTATTGTCCTCGTCTCAAACACAAATTAACTGTTTCTTCAAAACAGTCAGTCTACACGCTCCACACTCTACAGCACGGAGAGTACACCATTAAAATGTGTCTGAGACGGGGACACGTTAAAGCCCGCGGATAATATGCACAATGTCCTATAATTGGTATTTGCATAATCTTAGGTAGTTTTGATTCGTTTTATTTGTTTATACTTTCCGAAGCATTTGACATGGTTTAGTGCACAAAATGGTGTCACAAAATTTGTGGTTGCCATTGTGCATGCGCAAAATTCGAGCCGTAAATATAACATTCAGATTATTTTAAGCGAGCCAAGCCAGGTTGGCTTGTATGGTTTTTGGCTCAACTCGTTTATCCAGAAACTTGGCTCCAAGGCCTGGAATAGCCCTGGTCGTTATTATGTACATAAGTACTTATTACAAATTTTTAATAGATGAACCCAACCAAATTCCCCACACAGAAAAAAAGTACACAATAACAAGCAAATCCCACAAGTATAAAATGCCGTCATAATTTTTGAATTTGCGTCTAGCTGAGAAACGGAATCATATTTTGGATACGTCCAATTTTCGTAATGATGAAACAATTTTGTAGGTTTCCATAAATTGTGTAGTAAAGTTTCCCAGTGACTTATAATCCCAGAAGATATCATCACCTTAAGTCGGTGTAAAGCATAACTATTCCGTGCCGGAGTATGTAATCTGCCATCGACGAGGGGACGTAAAGAACAAATCATTATTTCCTTTGAGATATTTTACTCCGTTTGGGTTGTCATTAAGGAAAGGCACCAAGGCATCTATATTCTTTTCCTTATCCATGAACGCAATTTTGTCACAGGTTGACAATGTATTCAAAAATGCTTTTGTCTCTCGATATGATACGGGTTGCACGGGACATTCACTAAACGCGCTTTTGTTATTGAACCTCCCACCAATTGTGAAATACTTGTTAAGTGTTCCGTTTCCATATGATCGTCCATCGGCTAGGGATGTGCCGTCATGACATGTCATTGACAAATTGACATATTGACATGTCATAAATGTCCAATTTGTCAGACATTTAAAATTTGTGACAAATATGACATATATGACAAATATGACAAATTCAAAATGTCATAAATGTCCAATTTGTCTGACATTTAAATCTTGGACAAATTGAACATTTATGACAAATTGAACTTCTCAAATGAACATTTGTCAGTGAAATTGACATTTATTAATCAAAATATAAAAATTTAATTTCGTTGCTCGACTCAAGCAGTGTGAGATTCTTATACCGACCGGGGGAATTTACTTTGACTTGATTTACACAAAATTTCCTAATCAAAATAGCAACTCACAATGCTGAGGAAAAGAGATCTTTACATGCCCCTCTCAAATCCGATGCATTTTGCACATGTGGTAGCCCTAGGCGAATGCATGACGAGCCTAAAGTGGATTGATACCATGGCCACATTTGCGTGCGCCACACCCGCTCAAAATGATGAAACCTACAGAAGTTACCAACTTAAAATATCCACCAAAATTCAAATTTTGCTCGTATGTTGATAAGATTTACATTTTTGTGATCCCTGGTACTTGTGTAATCATATCCAGCAGATGTCTTAACTTTGTTGAAATTTTAAACTTTTTTAAATAATGCTGTGGAATGTCCCAAAATTTTAAAAAATTCAAAAAAGGTGAGATATCTACTGGATATGATCACACAAGTATATGAGATGACAAAAATGTAAATTTTATCAACATCCGAGCAAAATTGGATTTTTGATGGATATTTGAAGTTGGTAACTTCCGCAGCTTTCATCACACTAAGGAGGTGTGGCGGACTCAAATGTGGCCATCCTACATTCTGTCAGGACTATCAAATATTCAAAGGGCATCAAGATTTGAGAGGGGCAAGTAGAAGGTCCCTCCTACTGAGCCCACATAGGAAATATTAATGCAAACATTTGGCTGCTGATGTAAACAGTTACTTATATCCAGCAAGGATACCATTAATAAAATGGTAATTGATAAAGTTAGAAACAATTGATAAGTAATATCATAGGTAAATTAATTCAATCAATTAATTAAGTATTATCATCCCGATTATTTTTGCTGTTGTACCCTTATTTGACGATTTAGACAACTCTTGCCTTAAAACCCGCAATATCTTACTTTACGAACTCCGTAGGATTTTAAAATTGTTCCTAGCTTAATTAATCAAATTAAATAAATTTATGTACGAACGTTTAGTTTCTTGACAATGAGGCATTCCAATAGATTCAATTACAAATTCTACGATAAATGGGGAATATCGGGACAAAATGTCATATTTGTCCAATTTGTCCGTCATATTTGTCATAAATGTCTGACATATTGAAACCGTGACATATTGGACGGTCAAATTGACAAATATGACATATATGACAAATATGACAAATATGACATATATTCGCTTGACACGGACAAGCTCCATCCTTACCATCTGCCCCAATCCCAAAATATGGGCGTATCATTGTTACCAGGGTTGTGCCAATTTTGATTAGAGGATCAAATCGTGTATAACCTTTTGGCAAATCGGCTAATTCCATTGATCGCTCGAGTACTTCAATGAAGAAAAATGCGCGTCGAATTATCCCTGACATAACGGCCGTATCCTCCAGCTTTTCATCGAGGAGATTGAATGGAATCAAAATTTGTATTCCCTCCACTTGCAGTAAATTGTTCCAAGGTGAAATATACCTTACAGGTATAATCATTTCCATCGTGAAAAAGGTTTTTTGTAGAAATTGGGTAAAATAATTCCCGCCATAACAGCCCAAATCGATATAAGGGTGCGTAGTCCTATTACAGATGATGACGAAAGCTCTGACGCAGAATTTTCTAGAAACATTCCGATCGCAAAAAGCCCTCCACCTGAAGAGATTGAGAGGAAAGCGCAAACGATAGTAAACATTGTGAGGCTAATTAACGTGCAAATCCACGTGATATAATCGAACGGAAGTGTTAGGGCTGAGAGATGTCCAGAGTTTATAGGCTTTACGTCGTAACACGAAACAAAGCTTAACCTGGGATTCACCCGGGTGACGAAATTAACGTGGGTGGCACGACTAAGTGATTCATGTTTCTGAACAGGGAACACTTGATGAGACCAAGTTACATTCGTAATAGGTTTGTGTATAACATCTTGTAAAATCCAGTAGCTAATAAACACATTAAATGTTACCAAGTTCGCTACCTTCCGATAGTCATTTCTTGAGCTTTGAATTTTTGTCAAGCCTTTTATGCTGAGCAAGTCATCAAGACGGATCATCCTCCCATAAGCTTCAACATACGAACTCCAAAAATACTTGCTATTCTCTGACGCATTCTTGCTAAGGTGTTGAAGTTTCTTGAGGCAGGCTGTAGGAGAGCAATCAATCGGATACCATCTTTTCGACGCCTTTATTCCAACCACTGAAAAACTAAGATGATAATCATTGTAGTAGTACATCCGCAGCACTGGTCCTGCAGAAGCTATTAAATCCCCTCCGTGCATACTGAGCTCAACTACAATAACTTCCCTAAAGCCAAGGCGATGCCAGCCGTCAGATTCCAATTTTCTAAGAAATTGCTGGATATTTCTTTTAATTGTTGTGGCCCAAATGAAGTACTGATTTGAACGAAACACGCTGATGAAATTAGGTCCAACGATGAAATCTAAATACTTTTTATCCAATTTGAAGTTCCTTTGTTTTTCTGGAAGAATCTCAAACGATGCCCAACAGTGGGGAGAAGATTGCGTCTTGCCACTATAGAAAATTTTCTCTCGATGACACCTCCTTGTTTTGAGAACAAGCCGAAAATGATTATTGGTGCGTTTTTTACTTCTTGGTTTAGGACGTGGACAACTTTCTTTGGAATTGAGACTATTATCGTGCAGTTTCCGAATGGTTTGAAGTACTCCGTGATTTCAAAATTCTTTTGTCTCAAGTCATTGCTTGCACTTGAGGCAAGTATTAATTCAGTTGCTTTTAGAAGGAGTGTTAATATAAATGATGGTCTTTGAGATATCATTTTGTATCGGTGGACGTTACATACTAAAATATTTTATGATCCAAAACTGCCCACGTATGGGAAATCGAACCGTGGAAATCGAACCGTGGATTCGTAGACCGTTACTGTTCACTCTTGATTTCCGCTAAACAGATAATCTCCATGGATTAATATAAACGGCATTATCAATTCAGTTTAGTTTATTTCACACCGAGCACCATTTGTGAAGAGAATTGACATTTATTAACGTTGGAATATTTTTTCGACGTAATCGAGCCTTGTCTCGCAACTTGAAAAAAATCGAAGCCCCAAGAACTCAAACCAACAATTGTGAATCGCATCTATCTTATCTTTCCGTTGAATTGCCCCATCGAAGAAAAGTTTTGGCGGAAAGGTTCAATTTTTTGAATAAATCTTCTTTCATCCCTTCCTCCAAGGAGTGAAAATAACTGCAAGGGTGTTAATCTTCCCGTCAATATTTTTTATTAATGGGGCAATTCAACGGAAAGATGTGCAAGCACAGATAATATTTTTACGAGATTACAATTGTTGCTTTGATTTTTTTATGAAACTTGCTAGACATTCCCGGCTAACTTGACAATAGCCTCAATTGACTTAAGGAGATGGATACCTACATATGTATGTGCCAGGTGTATTTTGCTTGTCAAATGCAAGTTACAAATTTTTAAAAACTTCCCAAGTAATTCATATCTTTTTTCAATTTGGAAACCTTGGAAATTTTTGTAAAAAAGTAAGTTTTAAGGTTGTTTCTATAGGTTCAAATTTACACATCTATCAGTGTACTGATCTAAGGAAATCCTCAACCGAAATGAAGTTTCCCGAAAACAACACCATTAAAACAAACATAGCGGATGTCTAACGTAATTGGATAATCTGAAGAAAGGGATACTTCTTGAAATTACACTATTTTGTATACATAATCAACGAATAATTCATACCTTAACACTTATAATTTTGCTTATCTAAGTATACATGTACATATGTAAGCCCTATTGTCGATAATGACAATTTATACTTAAAATTTTAAAATTTAACTTTCATATAAATTGTTTCCAACTAAAGTGCTGAACTTTTCTTATGGAGGCGAGTAAATGATAATTATCTTAATTCAGCCGATAATGTAACTCGAAACTTATCAGACCTATTCCTGCTAAGGGTTCCACAACCAGAAAAAACATTAATCGTGTGTTTGAAAAACGATGCTATGTATGTAGAAAAAATGAGTGAACATTGTAGTCCTTGGAAAAATCATTTGAACTTTGACCGTAACATTTTTCTTCAAATGAGCTATTCAGCTGAAATAAATTCAAATTGTTGAATTTAGTTTGTGGTGTCTACAACAACTTTCAAGTTTAGGTAAACCTCCCCCAAATTACGTGACATCCAGTGTGCCAAATAGGAAAGGATTTTAAAATTTTTGAAAAATTTCATTTCACTTCCAATTTCGAATCTAGAATTTTATTTTTTCACTAGTAACTTAACACAAGTATGATTTATTTATAGCTCTAAAATCTGAGACGTGCCCCCAATGCATGATTGACATTGACGTGGTCTGAGTCATCCATTCCACACCATTTTCACTCACAAGTCATAATGCGATGGTGTAAAGTGTAGCCCTTAGATTGGTTGACATTTTAAAATTATGTTGTCTGTGTCAAAAAAGCAAACATTTCATGAGACAGTTTGTGCGATGGTTGGAATTTGTCAAAATATTTGGGGCCAAAGTTTAAAAAATCCATAATTTTTATCAAACGGGTGAAGCAAAATTCACATCCATTCCTTTCGAAGGAATGACAAATCGTCCATATTTCAACTTTGACATCAATTCAATTAAACGTTGGTGGTATTGACTAATTTTAAAATTTCAACCAAATCGCAAAGTTACACTTTACACCATCATCATGTCAGTTAATGCTTACTTGAATACCGTTGTTTTACAAGTCTGATTATCATCAACAAAACAGAAAAAAGAGACAGAGACCGACACCGACATTTGAGGGGCTGTAGGAGAGTATTAATCCATTTATTAATTTGATATGATCGGCACGAGTTTGCAATAAAGATAGTTGCATGTGAAAAAGTATAGAGAACAAATTAGTCTTAATACGGGTTCAATGCATTCTGCTTGAAAGAGCAAAATGGAGTGCCGCGTGATGTTTTATTACTATTAAATATTATGGATTCAAGCCTACAAGTATGGATTAAATAATTTTTTACCACGCAAGGTTTTCATACCAGGACAGTTGATAATTACAGATACATATTTCTTGGTGCATGAGAATACCAAAAGTTTAAAACGTTTCATTTATTTAACCCGGTTAACTTTTCTAAAATCTACCAATGTTGATGTTTACATATGATTTATATGCACAACGTCGTACATTATGGTTCATCTATTAAAAATGCGTCATTTTTTTCTGCAAGATTATTTGGTGCCCATTGGAATTCTTATGAATTTAGAGTTTGAGCCGTTCTTGCAATTCTTCACATATTTTCAAAACTAATAACGTGTTGAAAACTTTTAACCGTTGACACGCACCAGGCCTGTTGATAGGAAAATCGAAAAAATATGTATGTAGAATAGATTTATATAAAAAATGACGCATTTTTAATAGATCAACCATAACACTACAGACACCGTAATGGGACTACATACATACAATAATGTATGCTTCTTCAACTATAAAAAGTAAGATGTTCACAAATTTATTATTTATGCAACTATTTAAATTTTAACGTCACGCCGACAAATACATGTTTGAAGCAGGTTACTAATCCGATCTGATAGGAAAGTTATAGCTTTACAATCTCACTTTAAAAGAATTTTCCTCAATAAAACTTAATCACTTTGCGGCATCAGAAATTGAGATTGCCCTAAACGCATATCGTATCCCTATAAATACGATGATGTTGTCCAACTAAGTCCTACACTACGTCGAGATCCCAATCAATTCCTTCCAAAAATTGAAATGTTTTTCAAAAACTTTGCACCCGTATTCACCTTGGCGTTAACATCTACCTTACTTTTTGTAGGTTCCACCACCGGACAAAGTTGCGGTCGGGCAGATGTCTTCACGCGATCCGATGACGAACTAATTCTCGCCCAGTTTTCCGAGCTCCTCGATAACAACCCGGTTATTTTCGATGGCCCTGTATCCGTCTCCGAAGCCCCAACCCAAACCACCAGAACGACCCCCTTGACAATCGAGGATCTTGAGTATTACACCTATTTCTCGGCCTCGATGTATTGTCCCACCTCGCTGAAAACGTTATCGTGCTGTTACTGCGGGGAGTTCAACGCTACGGTGACAGATTTTCAAATTTTTGAGAATGAACTATACGGAACTAAAGCGTTGGTCACGTTGCATTCATCGAAAAGCGAAATCGTGGTGAGCTTCCGGGGTACCGTCACTTTCATGAATTTCATTATGGATTTCACGCTTCTCCCGACAGGAGTGAGTAATGGGGGGATTCAGGTACATTTGGGATTCTTTTTGAGTTTGATGTCGGTCTATAATCCGGTGAGTAACCTAAAAAAATGTATAATTTAGGAAAATTGAATGCTTCTGAGCGTAATTTGTTGTGATAAAAGAACCCAAATTGGAAAATTGTGGCAATAATTTTTGAAATAAATATCGGAAGGTGACTATTTTTGAAGAATTTGTAGGTTGTTAAACAAGTCGGGATGTACCTTGCCAGAAATCCAGGATCTCGTATTGTCGTGAACGGTCACAGTTTAGGAGGGGCGATGGCATCTCTGTTCGTCTACTTTATGACAAGCCTGAACCAATTTCCTTTCACGAATTACGCCTTGGTAACTTCCGGTCAGCCGAGAGCGGGAAATGTGGCGTATGCCGATTACATGAATTTCCTCAATATTCCCATGAATAGAGTGGTCGCGAGGTGAGAAAAGTTCGGTAGATAAATATATTTCAGAAACTTGTTTGTAGTTGAAATATTTTCTCGCAATGTTTTAAGAATTTTTGAGAATTATCTTACACAATTTAATTACCCTCTAGGGCAGACATTGTTGCTCACCTGTTTCCTGTAAGCGTTCCGCTCCTCTTTGGAGAATATTACGTGCATCACGGGCAAGAAGTCTGGATTAACGGGGAGGAAATAAACTTTTGTTCGAAAAGGGTCTACGAGGATCCCAACTGTTCCAACTCATTGGGACCAGTTTACTCCGTTTTGGACCATCTTCAATACTTCGATGCGGACCTTACCGTCTGCTACTTGGTCGAGGGATGGCTGGAAATTGACCTCGTGACGGTGGAAGGCTTCACCCCGACCAACTTCCTCCCACCAATGCCCACAGTGATGCGAGGGATTTTAGTAGGCCTGGTGCAAGGAGGGTATCAAGGCCTACTGCCGGTTTTGGGATAAGGAATTTTTTGAAGACATCTTATTTGGTTAAGTTGGAAATTTTGTAGGATAATGAGTAATGTAATGTTTAAGATAAAATTAAAGTTCTCAATATCCGAATTTAATTGGCTTAATGAAATAAAGTATCTAGTATGTATTGCAATCTTGTGTATTGGATTGATCTAATTTTTTAGCTATATGTAAGGTGCCATTCCTCTATTAATTATTAAAATTGTATGTGTTGCTAATTTTTTAGTACTGGAAAACAATTTTAGGGATCAGGTGCTATAATTCCTGACGTGATATATAGCATCTTTGTGTACAAAGATGGTAGTTTTTCTGACATGTATTGCCAAAATTTTTGAATTCGAACATTAGAGACGTTTTGAGGACTTTTAAAATTCGATAAGGCACGTTCTAATACTGGGTTCGCGTGTCTGTATCGCAACACATTTTTTAAAAGTATTGGCCAATCATTAAACGCTTATCATTTATGACGGATTTAATACAAAATCAGATGGCTTTGGCAGCTGAATATTTAATTTTTAGAATTTCCATCAAAAATAGGTACTGGAGCATGTACTTACAATGCGACGGTGTGAGGTGGTTACCGCCGAGATCCACTGGACTAATTTTAAATTGTTCAAGTTCAAAAATAAGTGGACCCGTATTTTTTCGTTTTCCTGAATGGGCATGTTTACGCCCTTGGCGGAATTAAAAAAAAAAATCAGCCAAAATTCGGATTTTTAAAAACGCTGTAATTTTTCGAATTTTAACCCGATTTAAAAAAATAAACCCATTTTTTGTTCAGAATTACATCCCTGGAAATATAAAAATTCATTTCTAAAAAACTTTTAATTTTCAAAAAATTGTCGTTTTTTGGGTTTATAAGAATTCTGAAATAGCATGGACGATTTCCATGAGCTATCGCCGGTAAAAAACATGTTATTTTATTTTCGGGTGTTTTAACTCAAAAACCTGTACACCGGGATGGAACTATTCGATTTAGTCAATTTTAACCAGACCCCATAAGGTATATATATTCTGAAACCTCCCGCCAAGACCTTTCCAATGGTACCCTATTTATGGGGTTATGTGAGACTTGACCTAATGACCTTTTCCTTTATTGCTCAAAATTTGTTGACATTGGAAAAAATTGAAAATTTTTAAAGAATCTGAAAACACAATCCATTGAGATCAGTTTTTACCAAATATAAAGACAATCTATATAGGATTGAAGAAATGAGAGCTCTTTCAATAATAGTGATGGATTGGTCAACTTTATAAGTTGACCTCATGCCATTTTCAGGTCATCGAGTACGAATTGGGCCTAGCGCTTCAGAAAGACCCTAGAGCATGCCCTGGGGATTGTCCATGCGAAGTTTGCCCGCACTGAGCCCACTGGTTGCTTCACAACGAAGGGAGAAAGTTGACAAGTTTTGTCGAAAAAGGCAATGCTTTCACGCATACCATTACACGTGGGGGGGGTCACGGAAATTTTAAAAACTGACTAAATCGAATAGTTCCATCCAGGTGAACAGGTTTTTGAGTTAAAACACCCGAAAATAAAATAACATGTTTTTTACCGGCGATAGCTCATGGAAATCGTCCATGCTATTTCAGAATTTTTATAAACCCAAAAAACGACAATTTTTTTGAAAATTAAAAGTTTTTTAAAAATGAATTTTTATATATCCAGGGATGTAATTCTGAACAAAAAATGGGTTTATTTTTTTAAATCGGGTTAAAATTCGAAAAATTACAGCGTTTTTAAAAATCCGAATTTTGGCTGAATTTTTTTTTGAAAATTCCGCCAAGGGCGTAAACATGCCTATTCAGGAAAAAGAAAAAATACGGGTCCACTTATTTTTGAACGTGAACAAGTTAAAATTAGTCCAGTGGATTTCGGCGATAACCACCCAACACCTCCTCATTGTTAGGATAATAGAAGAAAAATATTGAAAAGAAGTTGCCCTTCGTAATGGCCGTTTTTGTGGATTAGAATCTTCTATAGTATAAGCTGGAAATGTCTCTCCGGGACGGAAAGAAAGTAAATGTTCCGCAACGGAAGTAGAGATAACCACACCCGACAACCATCCTAAGATTATCTTCAGAAATTTAATTTTTTGAATTTTCGCGCAATTCGAAACCTGACTTTCTTTACTTTTACTTCCTTTGCCGGCAGACATTTCCAGCTTATAATTCTCGCTCGCCCGGCAGGAGACAGGCTTATTCGCTAGTATCCTAAATTTGATGGTGGTTTCTGTATAAAAGGAGATACATATGAGTTTCTTTTTCACACAAAGTAATAAAGTAGGGCAAAATGATCCTCCCTCATCGTCAAGTTTAATCATTATTTTCTCTCCTTCACTAGTCTCTTAAGCCCGCAATGCGGGCTCTAAGCAAAACAATTTTATTTAGTTTAGCGATACAAATTCCTGCTGAATAATTGTTACACATTTATCTTCACACAGAGCAAAGAAGCGTTGACTTGATTGTCACGTTTTTTAGCACGATCTTTAATAATAGAGTTCACAACTCTATTGGTGTGACAACGAAAAACGTGCTGTCAGGACTCTAAACGGTGTGACCACGAAAAACGTTCAGTCACAACTCTAAACGGTCTGACCACGAAAAACGTTCAGTCACGACTCTAAACGGTGTGACCACGAAAAACGTTCAGTCACAACTCTAAACGGTATGACCACGAAAAATGTTCAGTCATGACTCTAAAGGGTGTGACCACGAAAAACGTTCAGCAACAACTCTAAAAGGGTGTGACCACGAAAAACGTTCAGTCACAACTCTAAAGGGTGTGACCACGAAAAACGTTAGGTCACAACTCTATGGGTGTGACCACCAAATTTGTTCAGTTACTACTCCGAAGTGTGTCACAACAAAAAACGTTCAGTCACGACTCTAAAGGGTGTGACCCAGAAAAACGTTCTGTCGCGACTCTAAAGGGGGTGACCACGAATAACGTTAGGTCACGACTCTAAAGAGGTTGACCACGAAAAACGTTCAGTCACAACTCTAAACGGTCTGACCACGAAAAACGTTCAGTCACGACTCTAAACGGTGTGACCACGAAAAACGTTCAGTCACAACTCTAAACGGTCTGACCACGAAAAACGTTCAGTCATGACTCTAAAGGGTCTGACCACGAAAAACGTTCAGTCACGACTCTAAAGGGTGTGACCACGAAAAACGTTCAGCAACAACTCTAAAAGGGTGTGACCACGAAAAACGTTCAGTCACAACTCTAAAGGGTGTGACCACGAAAAACGTTCAGCCACGACTCTAAAGGGTGTGACCACGAAAAACGTTCAGTCACAACTCTAAAGGGTGTGACCACGAAAAACATTCTGTCGCGACTCTAAAGGGGGTGACAACGAAAAACGTTCAGTCACGACTCTATAGGTGTGGCCAGGAAAAACCTTCGGTCACGACTCTAAAGGGTGTGACCACGAAAAACGTTCAGCCACGATTCTAAACGGTGTGACCACGAAAAACGTTCAGTCGCAACTCTAAAGGGTGTGACCACGAAAAACGTTTTGTCCCGACTCTATAGGGGGTGACCACGAAAAACGTTAGGTCACAACTCTATGGGTGTGACCACCAAATTTGTTCAGTTACTACTCCGAAGTGTGTGACAACAAAAAACGTTCAGTCACGACTCTAAAGGGTGTGACCACGAAAAACGTTCAGTCACAACTCTAAACGGTCTGACCACGAAAAACGTTCAGTCACGACTCTAAACGGTCTGACCACGAAAAACGTTCAGCCACGACTCTAAATGGTGTGACCACGAAAAACGTTCAGTCACGACTCTAAAGGGTGTGACCACGAAAAACGTTCAGTCACAACTCTAAAGGGTGTGACCACAAAAAACGTTCTGTCGCGACTCTAAAGGGTGTGACCACGAAAAACGTTAAGTCACGACTATAATTGGGTGTGACCACGAAAAAACGTTCAGTCACGACTCTAAAGGGTGTGACCACGGAAAAACGTTCAGTCACGACTCTAAAGGGTGTGACCACGGAAAAATGTTCAGTCACAACTCTACAGGGCGTGTCTAGATCAAGAGGCGTAGTCAATTCCAAGGAGCGTTCAATTGTTCTAACGTTTTAAAAACGTTTAAGAACTTGAAGCGATAGCCCGCCCTCTAGCGCTGAAAAACAACCCACATCCTGTAGGTGGCGCCGGGAGGTAAATTAAAGTTGTAAGTGTCAACCATTGCGTGGGTTCCCAGTGGTCACAGGTCATATGTAAACTCAGGGGGGTGTGCGCAGGTCACAGGTTAAGTGTAAACTCGGGGGAGTGTGCCGAGGTCACAGGTCATATGTCAAGTCTAGTGGGTGTGCCTAGGTCACAGATTAAATATCAAGTCTAGTGGGTGAGCCCAGGTCACAGGCCAAATCCAAAGTCTAGTGGGTGTGCCCAGGTAACAGGTCAAATTCAAAGTCTAGTGGGTGTGCCCAGGTAACAGGTCAAATCCAAAGTCTAGTAGGTGTGCCAAGGTCATAGGTCAAATGTCAAGTTACGTGGGGGTATCGAGGTCACAGGTCAAATGTCACGTTACGTGGGTGTGCCTAGGTCCCAGGTCAAATGTCAACTCTGGAGGGCGTGCCCGTTCATTTGATCAAGTCTCGGCAGATCTAAAGGGTGTGTTTCGTCGTTATTGTGTTCGTCAACGTTTTGACACTTTAGCGAAAAACGCCCTCTAGAAACGAAAAATGTAACATAGTGACCCAACTGCCGCTAGGTGACATTAGCTTGGACAATGTGAGACACGTGTGTAATCAAGCGCCAAGTTCAACTGGTAACACACACCACTGCACAATTCTTGGTTCTGATATGGTGACACAACCATTGGGCAAAATCTTTCCTATCGTTGGACTAAATCGCAGGTGTGTGAATCCTACGTTTAACCACAGAGGAAGGATCCTGCCATGCCTTGGGGTGACAGGTAGGAGGATGCAATGCAGTAGCGGGAAAATCAAATTTTTACTGAAATTAAATCCGTAGATGAAGTACAGTGTAATTATACGTATGTACCTAATCAGTTACGAAGTTCTTTGATAAACGTTTTCTACTGCAGAAAAATAATGGGCAAGAATTTGTAATTAAAATATTCCATATCGATGCATAAAATAACTGTGC